ATATCGCACTTTTTCACAGTATTCTAATTTTCAGAGATTGTGGATTTGGGGTTTTCATGATCTGTAAGCCATAATCATCACAATGATGACAAATCACAGCTTGAAGTATCTTGCTTTGCATGTAATGAGTCTATCTCATATATTAGTTTCACCTTTTAAGTTGCATTACTGAAATAAATGAACTTTTGCATGATATTCTAATTTTTAGAGTTTCACCTGTATACCCAAGTTGTATGAGGTTGAGTGAATAAGACTGTAGACCAAATTTGAAATTATTTTTTTAAGGTATCTGCATTCCAAAAGCAGAAAGATATTAGAGAACCAATTTATGTTAACAGCTGTCTGATTGTGAACCTTGAACACTTTGGGAAAAGAATATAAAACAAATCCTATAAAGTGAATATCACAGCTGGAGAGTTTTAATAGTAGCATTGACTAAACGTTGACTTCCTTTCCACCCAATTAAATGCTTCAGTAATCAACCTGCTTTTCTAAAACACAAACTACCAAGTTTGATAGTTTAGAAATTGCTACCCTTTATTGAGTGGGCAGGAGGGTTATTGTCTCAACATTATTATTATTTTTCTCCTTTCTACTGGCACCAAGACATGTTCCTACCCACATTGGAAGAAATAATTGAGTATTAATTTGCTCTCATTTTGGTAGAAATAATATTAAAGCTTTCTTTTCCAGTGTTCGCCATCTGATTCAGTCATCAGTTACTTCTAATATAATAAAAAGATATTGACTTTTCTTGAGGGTGGTATCAAGATTTACTGACTTGAAAACTGAGGTATTTGCTGAGACAAAATTGGAGTCAATAGTTTCCTCAAAGAACAAGAAGTCTTGATAGCCATCAGTATATTTAGCTACTGTACAACTTTCAGAAATACAGAGTACCAGAATTCCAGCTGAGGAGAACAAAAATGCTAAATGGAAAGATTTTTTTTAATAAAACAGCTGGGAGTTAGTAGAGAAATACTGATCACTGTAAATAATGTTCTTGTTCATTGTTCAGCCAAAAAATATTACAAATAAGTTTAATATGTAGAAAAGGTTCTTGGATTAATCTGAATCTGAGTCTGAAAATAAATGAGGATAGAATAAAATGTGTTGTAAAAAGTATATAAAAATAGCCATATAAATATATCATTAATGTTAACATGTTAATATATGGCAGATAAGTATGAGTGGATGGGTGTGTGTGTGAGAGAGAGAGAGTTGGTATTCTGTCAGTGTTTACTGACAGAAGAGTAAAGATGCAAATTTCTAGCGTTGTTATTTGAATTTAAATTTAATTTTCTACAGGAGTGTGTGCAGATGTTTCCTTTCTCTTTCAAATTGAAGTCCATAGTGCAATTAGCTAACTTGTTACTATACTATACTAATAGTAATACTATATTATAGGATATTATATATACTGTATACTAATATCCTAATATGTTAAATATAGTAATAAATAATGGTGTAGAATAAAGCAATAATTAGTGGTTCTTTTTAAATTAATAAATTACTATGGTATGTGTATTAAGGAATATAAATTGGCACCCCACTTTTGCATAATCAATAAAGTGTTAAAAATTCAAACAATGTTTAAAATAGATAATAGATCTAGATGAGATGGGTGGCACACAAACCTGCTTAATAAATAAGAGAAATAAATAATTAAATAACTAAATGAAAAATATACCATAATTTAAAACTGCCCCAAAAATACTGCAGTAAAGATTACTAATAATCTTTATAAAGCAAAACGTATGGAGAATTGGTTTATCAAAAATAAACTGAGTGCAGAGGAACATGTTTTATCTGTTCGTACAGGGAATTGAACTTAACTTGATGGCAACTAACTAACTTTGAACTCACCACCAAAACTTGGTTCTTTGAATATATTCTTAGTTCTGAGCCATACTCTATTTTACCTGAAGAAATTAAGTTCTGTCTTGGTACCTTCTAAATGTCAATTGCTTAGCTTTCTACTTTTTTCTGGAAACTATCCCATCAAAGCCTTGTAGCTCCTTGAGTCTTCCTGATATTGTTCCAGAAATTTCACTTCCTTCCTTCCTCAAGTTCTTCCTCCTTCCTCCTCCCAAAGGATCTCCTTCCTTTCACATCTCTTAGCTTTTTCTCCCCTTGGTCTCAAGGCAAAGGGTTTTGCCAGCAAAGGTGAGCTTAGGACATGGATGTCAAACTCAATTGCGTCATGTGATGTATCACAACA